TTACAGAACTCCGAAAGAGATTCACAGATATAACACAAGGTTCAACAATGAATTAATATCAGAGTACACAAGACTATCAAAAACTAGACACGGAAGTAATTATTTCGGCGAGAAATTTTTTAATGCTGCCCAGGTTTTGTCAAACACTCAACTCAACCATTTTTAAAGCAACTGTGAAAAGATATCTAGTGACGAAAGCTTTTTACAGCATAGATGAGTTTTTAAATAATGATTTTACCGACTTTGTTCCATAATTGTTGACTATTTGTTTTATTACTTTGTTTTCATTTGTGTTTCTTGTGTATGTGATATTTTTGTATTACATTTTATTGTTCTCCAGACATGTGTAAGGACTTTTGAGTACAACCATGAAAAAATTATTACTATTTCATAATTTTTTAACCATCTTATTTTATTGTTCATCTAAATTTTAAATTAGGTTTTATCAAGTTTTTTTACCTTTTATTGCCACTTTGTGTTTTACGTTTGTCTTATTTTCGTATTGTTTGTTGTTTTTACTTAATCATTTATTTTCTACACTAGCTGACCTGTGCAAACACAATTTTGTGTAATAGTACCAATAAATTATTATTACCTCTTCAATAAGAACTAAATTAGAGTATGCCTCATTGATTTGGTCACCATTGTATCAAAATGCAACGTCAGCGATAGAATCAGTTCAACGCAAGAGCTGAAAATATATGCACTTTAAAGTTTATGGATACTACCCTGAAAGGGGGTTTCAACACAACTCACTACTTGAATTATTGGAAATGGAGAAGTTTCGTGATATTCAGGATCGCATAAGTAATGACATACCACGAAAATATAGACTAAATATAATCAGCCAGTGAAAAAATTATTGAAATACGCCAATAAATGACAGAGAAATAATTGATACTTAAATTTGGCGCATTATAGCGTGAAATCATCGTTGCCGTTCGTTCGCGTCTGTCACACTTCTCTGGTGCCCAACATCTCGTCGAGTAGGTGTTCGACAGCGTCTGTGCGTTTAGTCATTAGTCTCTAGACAATTCATAAGACACACCTGTGTGCTCGGACACGTGGTTTCCAGTTGATAACTATCGAGTACTGCGTAAGTTCATACCATTATGGACGCCGCATGTGAAGGTACGTAAAGAAATGTTTATTAGGGGGTTGTAGTTGTTGTGTGTAACAACCTTTTTTTCTCATTTCGCTCATAACCGGTCCTATATGCAGTCAACTAATTAAACAAAGTGTGGCGGAAGACGTTTAGCCAAGCATGTGTCCCGCTGTATGTGTGCCTATGCATCTGTTTAGGAGATTCGAGTCAGTTCGGGCCCAGGAGTCGGCCGCGGGCGTTGCAATAATATAATATTATCGCGGGGCGCAACTTTGATAGGCTGTAACTTTTTTGTTTTTAGAGATAAATTAGTAGTAGTAGTAGTAGTAGAAAGATTTATTTAGCACATTTGGCTACATAAACAGAACAATTGTAAACAACTTAGAACTAGTAAATTCAAGCCATATGGTGTATGATGTAAATGCTGGGCAACCTATAATTGTAGATTTAACAAGTGATTTCTCAATTTTACTTTAAATTTTGTCAAAGTTTTCTGGTCTTTTATCTCCGAGTATAATTTATTATATTCAATCAACCCTTGATGGAATACAGATTTGTAGCATATGTTATACTTTTTGGTCATTAAATGGAAGTCTTCTTTATTTCTGGTATTATGTAAATGATGGTCGACATTTGATGATGTTAAATTAGTTAGACTTGATGGAAATATATTATTTTTTACTTTATAAATGAATATCATTACAAGATATTTGATAAAATTTTTTACATTGAGCCATTTCAATTTGCTAAGCATTTGCCTAATTGGAGTATATTTATCTTTATTTAGTATTATTCTCATGCACTTATTTTGTAAAATTTGCAGTCTTTCAAAAATGGAATTATTTGCTAAATATAGAATAGTCGAACAGTACAAGAAATTTGGAAGAATGATGGTATTATAGATAATTTTTCTGCTATATGAACTCAGACATCCAGAAACTCTCGATAAATATCCCACTTTACTACTAATCTTATTTATAACTTTTTCATAATGAATATCAAAAATTAATCGAGAGTCAACAAAAACTCCCAGGTATTTAAAATTTTCTACGAATTCAATATTTTCACCATCAATATTCAGTTGAACATTTGTACATTGTTTTTTTCCGATTAACAAGGCTTTCGTTTTACTTGCATTTAATTTTAGTCTATTCGATGCTAACCATTTTGAGACAAGCTTCAAGTCTTCATTTATATAAGAGATACTAGACTGAATATTTTTAGTACTTATATAAATCATAGTGTCATCGGCGAAAATTTGAATTTTGCATTTTTTGACTATGGCAGGTAAATCATTTATGTATAAAATAAAAAGAAGTGGTCCCAGGATACTGCCTTGTGGAACACCCAACGTATTTTCAATTTTTGATGAAATAGTGTCATTAACTTTTGTAACTTGTAATTGTAATTGATAATTTTTTCTCATCTTGTTTCATTTTTCCTAGACTTTCATTTGAGCTAATAACAAAAAAATGGTAAACTTGTCCATTATGACACTTTAGCGTACCGTCGTCATATTAATGAGGTTACAGTCCTGTACAATCTAATAAATAATAAGTTGGACAGCCTAGACTTACTGTTTAATGATAATTTTGCAGAAACTGAAAGAGTTACACGCTACACTGTAACTTTTTACAACCCAAATGGCAACACAAATATCTCAGATGTGGCACCCATAAATAGAATGTGCACTTCTTTTAAAAAATATTGCATGGGCTGTGATATTAATTGTGATGCTCTTGATGTAATTCTGGCCAATCTAAGACGTAATTATGCTGTGGTGGGACGTTGAGATACGCATTGCATTGTGATATTCATTAAATTTTGTCTCTATTTTTTTGTATTCACTTTATTTATCCTTATTTACTTTTACTTATACTTTTATACCACATCTATGTTTGATGTCTTTGTGATATCACTTCTAATTTTATTGTTACTGTGATTGGGTATGTCCCGTTGGAATAAAGATTGTTAGTATTAAGATTATTATTATTATTAATACACTTACATAATCTTCCTTTTCAGAAGTCATTCAAAACTAAGCTCATGCGTCATAGCCTATGAATAATGTTACCTAATATTGAATTTTTTCTCAAACTTAAATGAGACGATAAAATCTGCACAATAAAATGTAAAATATGTCCCGAACTAAGGTATGCGTCAAGGGATAAACAGTGTAGCGTATATTTATTTCCCTGGGCGCTCTAATCCACAGCTTTGCTGGGGCCTTTTTTGAATGTTTTTTTTACATTCTCGGACGATACAATAACGATAATAACTATATTTTTAAGTTAAGTTTAAGTTAAGTTAAAAGTTGGAGTGGCCATGTTGCTATTAGCTGCTATTTACAAATGATATGACATCAGAACAGATTATAATATATACATATAATTATAATATATGGGCCAAAAAAATATTACATATTTTCCAATTAAAGTTTCAAGGTCTGAGAAAATAAGTATTATTTTTTTTTCTTTTAGTCTAATACTTTAGGGTGGACCATTAAGTTGAGTGGATTAAAAAACCTCCAAAGCGTAGGAAGATAATTTATATTTTTAATAAAGTAGACACATGGGAATTTTATTTTTCAAGAATAACATCATTGAGATGTGAGCCATCAAGACGTACGCACTCCTCGAATCTCGACTTCAAATTCGTGGAAACTCACTGGCACATCACTCGTGGGATAGCGGACATCTCCTCGGAAATGTTGTGCTGGGCAAATCGTCGTCCGTTTATTGGCGTAAACGCGGCTCTTGAGGTATCCCCAGAGAAAAAAATCCAGAGACGTTTGATATGGGCTCCGGAAAGGCCACGGAATGTCCCCTCGTCGCGATATCAGTTTTCCGCTAAACATAGGCTTGAAAATTATGTAGTTGTGGAAAGAAAAAGTAACGTAGCATTGCTGTGCAACAATTAGAATTTACTGTTGCAGTTTGGCCTTGCTCGTTTTCGAAGAAATAGGGTCGACAAGGCAGCCCAAACTGTAACATAACGCGAATGCAAAGGACGTTGGTGTTTTAATTTGGGATTTTCTGCGATCCAATACCGGTAATTTTGCTTGTTGGCAAATCCACTCAAATGAAAATGAGCTTCATCAGATTAGAGATTATTGTTTAAACTTGGAAAGCGCTCTAACATTGTTTCGGCAAACGCACGGCGTAGATGGTGGTCCTGCGGTTTCAATGCCTGCACTAGTTGAAGTTTATGTTTATATGGATGCAATTTAAGGTCTTTTACCAAAATACACCTTACAGATGTTCTTGATATGGCGAGCTCAGCTGATCTCTTACGGAATGATAAGTGTGGATCGCGCCGTTCGGACGTGGCAGCTTCGCTTACAGTTTCCTTGGTTTGTATTGATCTTGAACCGGTAGACTCGAACTTTGTGACCCACGACCTGATCACACTTTCACAAAGTCATTGATTTAGATCATGTAAAATAAACTTAGAGCGAAACAGACGCCACGCAATAGTGCATGAATCTCACAGAACGTACGCTGCTCACCGGTGAAAGATCCATCGCGACTAAATTGCTGAGCACCTAGCTACTACTACTACGACCTCACTACCCGTGTTCCGCTCCAGCGAGCCTGTCACGAGCAATGCGGTTTTGAAATGCATACGTCTTTCTGGTCCACTTTGTAGAACAAATATTAACTAGGACCTATTTAAAAAATGTGTGTAGTAGCCAATTGCCGTTATTCTCCCGGGATTACCCGCTCCTTTACTTGCCGCTCCACTATTTTTTTCGGCTTAACACGTGAACTATATAAATAAATAAAATATAGCCAACTATAGAGCTAACTCATAAAAGAAGCGTGGAATTGTGAGTTTTGAAATACTCGTGATTTAATCAAATGAATATGTACTGGTCAAAAACTTTCGTAAGTACCTTCTGTTCCGAAGCAGGTACGATCTTCCTAGGTACAACTGATCTTCTAGCAACTGATGTCGAAATTGTACTGTATCTATGCTGGGGTGGTTTAGGAGCTGAAGCAGTGAATAATCCTTTTCTCACTGTCTTTGTTTCAATTTTCATCTTTTTTGCTTTGGGTTGATCCTCTAAAAGTATATCTCATAATGTCAATCTTTATAAATGAAGATTCGTGTAAGAAAAGGATCATAGCTATAAACAAAAAGAGTACTTTGATCACTACGGAGGTATATCATGGCAATTAATTTCCTACTTCATTCTAATATTCTAGAACCGCTTCTTGAGGCTAAAGCTTTACCTTCAAAATCCGCAGCTCTAAGCTTCAAAGGCTTCAAGTCAAAAGTCTGTTTTAGTTTGGTTGCTGATTTTTCTTCTGAAACAGATAAAAGTTCAGGTGTAACATGGAATATACACACAACAGTAGTGATTACGAACAGACACAATTTCTCTAAAGTCAAAAGATCTTCTATTTTTGGCTTTGTGCTGTGAAGAGCACAATTAACCAGCCAACTCGGCGTGCCCTAGGAGAACCTAAAAGTAGACCATAACCTTCTGACACATTATTTTTTCTAAGAAATGAGTTTGTTGAGCACAAATTTCATTGATTTAAGTTTTTTTTATATACCAAAGCAGCCGCGAACGTAGAAGCCTACACCAGCACGGGTATTACGTATCTTGCAAAGTGACATTATGTCGATTTTGTTGACATTGTATTAGTTTTTTGTGATATTATGTAGGTTTCTCTACAAGATGTTAACGTAGCACTAGCTGATGGACACGTTGTGAACTCGTTTTGTAATTGTACGTGTTACCTAAACGTCATGATGCTTCAGTTATCAATGTTTGGCTCTGATGTGATGTAAAATCTACTTCAGAGATGGCATTACTGGAGGTCTAAGATGTAAGCTGTATGTGTTGATGATAATTCCATTGTACTCTTGTCTCAAATACACTTACTTGTGATTCACAGCTAGAAATTAGTTGCTCATCCAATTTTTCTTATCCATTCTCGAAATTACATGTGCAAATTTGGTGAATTAAGAAAATGAGAGAGATAAGAAAAGAAAATGCCAGATTGGTGCAGTTACAGGGGAGAAAGCATGCAACAGACAGGAATATTTATGAAAGTGAAAAGGTTATCAAATCATTTTCTAATTTTTTATTTCCAGTCATTTAAATTTTATAGGAATTTATTTTGCGATGTCAATACAAAATACAAATCAGCGCCTAGATGGGAGGCATTGCGAAAATATGCGCGGTGGCGATTTCTCGTAGTGCTGCTCAGAGTTTTTGAAAACACAAAAAAAAACGGGAAAAATCGTAATTTATAACTTTGAACATAACCTATCTTCAGAAAGGACAACATATAAAAATTTTGACACAGCAAATATCACTAATCTTATACACATGCAGACCAATACACATAATAATCCAGATGCGATCTTGCTATTCAACCGACTTTCTCCTCAGAGATGAAAACTAGAGACTACTCGGCTGCACAAAACATATGCAATCAACAATGCATGTAATTGAGTCATTCCGCCATAGACGGATGCTCATAGCGGTTATAGGGAGCAAACGTGGAAATAACTATTTTTATTGACGTTTTATATAATACCCGTGCGAGGCTCCACGGCTACTAAAAGGAGTTTAGAAACACTTTGTTAATCCGATCTTTGAACTGCCGAGGTTAGTAGAAGAACTGAGAAAATCATCAGACAGATTTTCGACAATCTTAACGCCCTATGGACGAAAGAGCGGCCAGTTCTGGATGTACGAAGTTCAACACTGTTAGTATGAGAGGCTGAAAGACAGCTCTAAGGAGCAAAGCCCGTTGACAAAGTAGTAGAAAATAGCCAGAACGCCGACGGCCCGTGGATAGGGCTCTGAGACTGTCCGTTAGAGAAGAGTCACCGATCAATCAGACAGACCTCCTCTAAGGAGCAAAGCCCGTTGACAAAGTGGTAGAAAATAGCCAGAACGCCGACGGCCCGTGGATAGGGCTCTGAGACTGTCCGTTAGAGAAGAGTCACCGATCAATCAGACAGACCTCCTCTGAACAACATCAAGCATGGACAACACAGTCGGGGCGACAGTACCCTAAACATGTGAGCAGGACTCGAGGCTAGGTCTTATCTGGCTCTGTATAGACTGAGGAGGTTAAGTGAAGACATGTACTTCTTAGCCCTAAACAAATAGCCAAGCTTTTAACCAGCAACTGCCGCGATCTGACTAGATCTTTTGTAGAACTAGAAATCGAAACCGAATGAGCGTTAGGGTACTTGCTGGTACCATAATGCCCGTCGCTAATCAAGCCGTGGTGTTTAAGATACTCCAGAAGCTTATACTCGTATAGGATATGGACAAATTTCCAGTTTTCTGGGAAAGTACCGGATTTGTCGGACATCTGGAAGAACAGTACAACAGCAGGAATAAGTCCGGGCCAGAAGCTTTATTCATGTCAAACGACATGAGCACCCGTCTTGCGGTTTTATCCCTGAAGACTATTTCCCGCATAAGCACTCGTGGGGAGGTTCTTGGTAGATATGGCAGCAAAGATCTTGGCAAGCACTCCGGCCTTAGCCTTTTACAATATATAATCTATGGTTTTAAATAGAATTGGGTGGTTAGTTAGACAGTTAGCACAACAAACGTATAGATTTTTCTCATACTTTGGCAATAGATTTACAGGATGGCCAACTAAGAATGCAAGGTACTGTATCTGGGAACCTATCCATCGGCTTGCTGCAAAAAAGTTCTAGCTAAAACGGCTAAGAGAAAAACCTGGATAATATTTTCAAGTTTCTGAATGTGCCGCTGGGGGGTGTAACTGCAAACAAGTGATGTTTCTGTGAATTCCGCTGTATTAACGTAACAAAAAATACCTGATCTTTAAAGTCGAGGATAATGTGAACTTTTTTGTTTGACAATTTTTGCCGAAAACAAAGTGGTGGGGGTATACTGTTCTGTAAAAAACACCTCGAAACAGGTGAGCCGATTTTAAAAAACTTTGGCTCGTTGGGCTACAAATGTTATATTTGGCTGCATTAGGTAAGCTCTAATCAAAATATAGGGAATTATTTAAATTTTACTTTTTTAAAATACTTTTAGAATGCACCCATATCACGTCGTTTTGCATCAGTCCTTGAAAGAGAAAGACTTTGATCGGAGGTTGTTAGGCCTGATACGGGAAAATAGAGAATTTTTGTTCCAAATTCTTTGGACCAATGAAGAGACCTTTAATAGTGACGCGAGAGTCAAACTGCACAATATGCATTACTGGTCTGCAGAAAATCCGCATTGGTTGCGTGAAGTTCAGCTCCAAGGGCGTTGGAGTTTAAATGTGTTGTGTCACATACTGGGAGGCAGAATTATCGGGCCATATTTTTTCGAGCAATCGCTTAATGGCAATGTATTTCTTGACTTTTTGGACAATCAATTACCGTTATTGCTGGCATTTTTAATGCAATATTTCAACAGTGGTGGATTGGAAGAGGAAGTCTGTTTCTACAGCCTACATACCTAGATTTTTATTTATGGGGACAGTTAAAGGACATCGTGTTTCAGACTAAACCTACAACCAGAGAAGATATGAAAAACCGGATTCATAATGCAATACGTAACACACAGAGAGCCGAAATTGGAGCCTACATTTTTGTTAAACCATGAGAGGCTTCAGGAATGCATAGAGCGTGATGGTCAGCATTTCGAGCATTTACGGGGGCAATAAAGGCCTTTCTCTTTTTAAATCAGTCCTTTTTAGGGACACAACTTAATAGTAAAAATAGCAGCCAGAAACTTGAAAATATTATCCAGGTTTTTCTCTTTGTCATTTTAGTAATAACTATTTTTGCCACAAGCCTCGATGATGGATAGGTTCTCAGATACAGTATCAGTTGACTATTTATAGTGACTAACTAGTCCTTTGGAAGCTATTGATGTATTTACTGGGCTGATGTTTGGGTTGGGCTTAGTAAATTCGTTTTTTTCTCCATTATTTAAAATATACCAAATAAGTTGTTTAATTCAATAAAAGTGTGAATTACTCTAATCTATAGTCAATTAGATGACTTCCCATGTTGGATGATGGACGTTCAGAACACCCACAATTACCATATGTTACCATCAAAATTGTTAATTATTCTTTGTATGGTTTCATTCCAGCTTATTGTTTGGGACTAAATATAGATTGATAAAGTCCATGTTATTTAAGTAGTTGTGTGAATTTCTGATAAGATGAAATGTAATATCATATTTAATGCATGTGTGCTACTAGCTCTTTTCCATCTTGACAGTATTTTCTGATTTCATTATAAAATGAGAGGCTGAAATTAGAGTCATCCTTACCAAGCTTAAGATGATTGTATCAGAGTTATCTAATTTGCTCAATTAGATTGATTTTGTTGCTACAAATACATATAGTATTCCAATGAAGAATTTTAAGATTGCTGGTAGTTGACATTCTATCCACAATTTATAATTTAATTGTAACTTATTCTGCTGAATGGCACCAATACGATGTTGAGAATAACTTTAACATAGTGTTCCTGATAGGTAAATGGTTTGGTCAGATGATTCTGATATGAGTGTTCTGATTGGGTAAGCATCTGTTTTTGTCAGTTAACAATATTCATTGTGAGCTTCAACATTATATCCCATGTTGTGTTCAATGGTTCTTTTCTTTATTGGCTAGTGTTAAAGCTAGTTAAAAAGTTTTTTTGTTATGGTTGTATTCAAAAAGTCAAATGCTCTGCTGTTCCCAACATTTATATTGTTGGATATGGATGGGATGTTGAGAATGTTGTTTCTTTTATTGCAGTCATCAACATTTATGGAGCTATTCAGCATGTTTGTTTTGGGACATTTTTCACTCGCATCCAAATGAGTAATGTTTAATAATATCCATCTATTCTTTTTTGGCAAAGTCTGCATCTGTGTAATGAATAAGTAGATTCTACAAAATCCACATATAGGTCAGTATGAATGTTTTTATAGGCTGGTTGCTATTTTGTCAATTTTAGCATTAGGTTTTTGTACGTTGATATTTCAGTTTATAACAATTATATTCTCCAATTGATAAATGAATCAAATCTATATTTTATAGGTTCAGGGGGGACAACTTCCCCAAGTATGTATCAAATTCTTTCCATTCTCTCTTCTTTGATATAGGTATGTGTATGTAAGAAAAAAATACCCCACCTAATATTGGGAGGGATAAGACTACATAGAGGAATACATTAGTATTGAGCCACATCAAACCTGTAAAGTTCCTATAGTCTGAAATAGTAACGGCAGCTACTTTTCTAGGCACTTGAATTGTTTTTCATCCTCTACTCTCTAACCAAATGACGTTCAAAACGGAAGTCAGAACAGATAGATACAATTTTGTAATGATCAAAAGATGTGGAAAAAATTCAGATATTTTGTGATATCATATATATATATATATATATGTATGTTGTTTTGTGATATATCAATATTAGATTTACTTACCACTCTTGTTGCCCTTATTTCTCCATTTAATTGGTAAAGGGATAAGTTGACCAGTATCTGGATCTACGTCTGAAAAAAAATTACAATAAACGGTTCTTTGAAAGCTCAAAAAATAGGTACTTACCGAATATATCTTTCGCCTTAACATCCATACTCAAGAAGGTCTTGTATAGTCACTTAACTCAAAAATTTTAACCGAAAATGGGAAAACACCAAAATAGTACTTTCAAAAAAAATGCAACGGTCAAATACGCCAGATGTGATTTGTGAGGTTATGAGTTGCTTATGCGCATGATTTTGTGCGTTTGACAGCTGGGATGCGTTATGTAGAGATGTGAAATATTTATTGTTTCAGTTTTATGATTCGGAATCCCAATTGAGAATATTCATCATTGTTCAGAGTTGCAAAAACAAATGAAAAACAATCTAAAGGTGAAAGACGTCATCTGAATGTCCCGTCCGGAATTTTCACAATTAATGTGAAAAAGGGAAAATGACAAAAACTAGAAATGATAGACGTGTGGAAGACTAGCTCTCCTAAATAGTATTGCTGACTACTAACAGAATTTTCAGACCCTGTACGTACCTAAGTATTGATCTTCATAATTGTCACCTGAACTTAATTAAACACGGTAGGTACCAGACTATTGTTTTTTACACGTTGTGGTTCCATAGATAAAAGTTCATATATACTTTTAGGTGATAAAAGCAATCTAGAAGTCAACATGCCTCATTATGCTACCTCGAGTGCAGTGCAAGCATCTAACAAAACAAGCAAATAAAAAAAGATGGATTTTTCACCAGATTTTTCGCTCAAGTTAATCGCCACTTTTGGCCTCCTAGATCTCCAGACTTTCCGCCCATTTGACATGTGTGGGGAATGGGAAGAAGAGTCATATATTTACCTCATCCTTCACAAACGTTAGCAGTTTTCCGAAACCATGTACAACTAGATTGGAGTGAGATACATCAAGAAGATATAAATTACCTCAGAAACATGCCCAGATGGCTTCACGAATCACGAATCTAAATGAAAATGTGCTTAGTACTCTATTGTCTTGCCGAATCAAATCACATAATATATGGTTGAATGTCTATTTATATTGTACAACGTTTCGACCACTACTGTCTATTAGCATAATCGCAAAATTTCGAAAGTGAGATGTTTTTTGGATGTTATATGACATCACAAAAAACTATGTCACTGATTTCCTTCGGTCAGTCTGTCGGTCTGACCGCTAATCTTATAACCGCCTATAACTTGGGAAGTACCTCTTGGATGACGATAAAATTTCTACACAATGTTACGATACCCTATTTCACGAGTTTTCATCACGGTACAATGACAGCTGATTATCTAGTAACATCTCAAAATGCCCCATATCGGCACAGGACACATAAGTCTGAGGGATACGTCAACGTCAGGTAGTCAGAGCAGTATTTTGTTTTGGTTTTTTATAAGCTACAGATTTATTTTTTACTTGCTCTTTTATTTAAGAAAGTTCATTTGTATACCGAAACCAAAACGCTACAAACAAATTTTACTAGACTTACACCCGATTCATTATTTCATCGTCGCAGACTAACACAAAAATGTCACTTGCTGATCAGCTATTCACCTCAGTAGACGTCAAAACGTGATGGATACTCGTGAAATAGGGTATAGTATGCCAGGGACGCATAACCTTTATAATTTTGGAAAATTGGTCCAGTGGCGGTAGAGAAAAAGGCAAAAATAGAAAAAGAATAAAAATCGCTAAAACGTCGTTTTTGACGTTCCAAAGGATCCTTATCATTTTTGAAAAAAATTTAGAGGTAAAAGAACTTGAGGCAGGGTTTGTGGGCGGTGCGGTGGGGAGGGTTTGTCTCAATTTGTTATGTTATTATAGATCATAGATTTCCTCAAACTTTGACTCTTAAAACTAAAAAATATTCTGAGCAGACCAATCGCGTACTTGCCTGCCGCGGCTGCTGCTCCCGGTGGCGCTATAGTTTCCGGCGTTGGTGAGCATTCTGTTGTTTTGGTACGGTATTACACGTATTTTTGCCACGCCACAGAATAGTGTTTCCCATGCTCTCACCGCTCTGCCACGTCTGAGCGAGTAAAGTATCGAGGAGACGCGACATTTCTAGATGCACTACCGGTAGGGCAGGGAAAGAATATCTATAGACTAATTGTATGGTCCTGATTGACTGACTTTTTTCTCGAAGTGTCTGGTTTTTGCTGAATATAATTCTTTATGAAGTGATAACGGCGTTGCGTTGTGAGTGCTAAGTCAACGTAGTTGACGCCATTTTTTCAAGTACAATTGGCAATTCTGTGAAAATATATTTTGATTATCTGTCTTCCAGCTGACATTCGTTTCTGTTTTCCTCTTCACATCCCTATACAGTGTGTGTTACTACAACAGTCTGAATGGTCCTGTCACATGCTCAGCGTGCGCGAAGCCATCATTACAATATGAAGATGGCATCGCGTGTAACCAGCTCAGCCTAGGACTGCTTGTGGAAGGTATTCCCGCTCCAAAGAGAACATGTATCCCCAAAAGCGTCAAGCAAGCATGATATTATCTTTTTCGTTTTTTTATGTTCCAGCACGTCACCCTTGTTCATCGTCCCAAAATCGCCAAAAGTCCCCTGAAAACGCGAAGACCCACCCAGAACTATTGACGCAACTCACCGATCAATTGTTATGCAATATTTCACTATAAAAGCTGCATATGCACTGTTTATGGATCTGAAATTCGAGAAATAGTGCTTCAACATCTATAAAGAGAATGTTGTTTGTCTTGTGAGGAAATAATATAATACACAACAGTTTGTCACAGAATTACCAATTGTACTTGAAAGAATGAACATGAAAACCACAGGATAAGTTTCAGGACTTAGTAAACTTTTTCACTCCAAATGTTAGTCACTGCTTCTTATTGCTTGCTTACTGAGTATAAAACTTCATCCAAATAAAATTAATTTTGATGGGTGCTCTATTTTCTCTGTCACTGAGTATATTTTATTAAAAAAATCTTAGTGATTCCAGCCGCAGGTATAGGAGACATTAGAAATGACCACGCCGCAAATTTGACATTCGAAGGCGAGAACCATGTATTGACAGAGCAGCTATTTTTTGTTAAAGTTGTGGCCCCAAGTTCTTAACGACAAACAATTTCGAGTAAGATAAGTGGTAAAAAACATTTGTATACATGAGCCCTCATCTTCCTTTGTAACAATTTCCATCTCACTCTGATGAAAAATCGTCAGTCTTCTTACAAAACTGTGTACTGTATCATTTTTTAATTCACGATTTGTCGCGTTTCAGCAATAATAGAAGTATACCAATGGCTGATTACATACCTTATGGATATCATGCGAAAAACTAGAGAACCAGTTGAAAGCTGGAAAGATGGAGTTCTGTGCGAAAATGATTCCCATGTTTATTATGCAAAGAGCTTAGCAATTGCTTACATACGGGTAAGCTAATTAAATAATTAGCCTGCTAATTTGATATTCCTGAATATTTGAATTCTCTTATACATTTTGAAACAACCTGTAAAATCACCGAAATAGTTGTGAAGCTTATTTTCCCTCAGAAATGTGGTCATAGTACTGAAAAGTCCTGATCATAGGCTAGCCGGCTATAGTTTTGGACACTTCCGACCTATTTTCTTGTATTGTTGACAGAATGCCAAATTACTGGAATATTACTTACCTAATGTAATGTAAATAATGCAAGCTGCAAGCTGCCATGATGCGTACAATTTCGTCCGACATTCTTGCCTGATTCTGTAGTCCTTCTGATACGAAATTGCCAAGATGTAGTCAAGATATAACTGATATATCGGAGATAAATAGCTGGAATAAAAATATTATCCGTTTAGAAGCTCCGTTAGTTTATTTCGCATTAAATCTTGCATGAATGTAGTAGAAGTAAAAGTTTTCCAACTGTTCAAATTTTTAGCACTTTTATCTGCAACTTAATGATGTTGGTGTTGATATCTGAATCACCTGATGAACCGATCAGGAAGGTTCTATCAAGTCTATTCTCTGTGAAGCTTAGAGAAGCATCTTACCTTCATGTATAGAGGCCAGTATTCTATATGACCTAAACTCCCTGAACTCATACATAAAATAATACTTGATGGACTTTGTGCAGATCTCAAAGACGACGCAGCATCGTTGATTGACGCTATTGCCCCACATGACTTCATCCTTAATTTCGACCTGGGAGCTTCAGAATGATCGGTGAGTCACTACACAGGGGATTCATTATTTCTAATAAAGTAACACCGAAAAGCGTAATCAATCTAAAGTGGAATGTACTGTAGCATATTTTCATGTCTCCCATACAAGGGAGGATCAAGATAACGCACATGATGCTCGGTGCGTCAGGAGCTCATGGAGGGTCAAAACGCGGATTATGGAGGTCCAGGACAGATAGGTACTTGCTTTTAAAATCATGACGTTATAGCATCCCACACCCCACCCCCTACTATACAGGGGCCCCAGAGGTCCTAGATCCGCCACACTCAACAAAATAACAATGAACCTTTAATTCAGTATAGATTGACGGTTATTTCTGCTTAGGGAAACAATTATTAATTTCTACCGTACAATTTTTCATGTAATAGTATTTCGTTTGTGGGTGACGAACTATAGTTTATATCTCTGTTTTTGGGGTCTTACTAAAATATATTTATGCAATCTGCCTCTGTGCGCGAACGTTCATTTGTATAAGCTCGGACTTATGTTCTTCACATGAGGACTAGAGATAGGAGGTTAAGCTGTATAAGGGATACATGTATTCATATAAAGCCAACCCTGTCGCCAAGGTTGGTGTGGCTCTCGGACATCTACTGTGCGTAGAACATGGCACAGGGCGTCTGTGCATTGAAAAAATGTCAATATAACCTGCCGCAATCCTCAGGTGCTTTTGACTCACGTTTTGCCATTCTTTTTAGGTATATTACTTTATCGTTTATTGATAGTATCTAATATTTCTTCTTGCAACTCGTCCGAACTGTGAAAGTTGGAGCGGTTTTAGGTTTACAGTCATGATGACAGCAACTGAAAACATGCGCAGAACCTGAAGTTAATTTTCTACGCATTGTATAAATGAGCCGGATGCCCTACGCGCATTGTTCCAAGTCGACCTTTTTGGCTTCACCCCACTCAAGTTTAACCTCCTATCTCTAGACATGGTTCTTTAGCTTCGTCTCGCCACCGAAAATTTTCTCGTCAACCTATGAGTATGCTAATCTATGCTTGTCTCTGTCAGTGTGACAACCCACATTGCAT